GGTATTTACTCATTCGTTTAGAGTTAAATACGTCGTATGTTCGCCTACAAAGGTAGTTTTGAATTTGATTGAATTACTCCCATCGACAGTTTGACGGTCATTCCATTCTCTTGCGGCGATAAAAAATTACGAGAACTTAACATCAACAACGTCTGCGCGCTGAATATTAAAGCTTGATTTTGCTTAAGCTTATATTTTTAGATCGGCAAAATCACAACGGAGGCATTGATGCATTCGTTTAGAGTTTGATACGTCCAGTGTTTGGCCAAGAAACTAGCTTTGAATTTGATTGAATTCATCCAATCAAAGTTTGACGGTCATTCGATTCTCTTTCTGTGAAAATTTTTATGAAGAACTTGACAACAACGACATTGGTCGTGCTTTTGCAAAATCCTACGGCTTTCGTTTTAAAACCGTTTAGCGGTTAAGTCCAATTTTCGGTCAAGAAACTACAATCATGGACAAAAGTCTTGAGACAAATTTGCACTTTTGGTGCTTTTGCGCACACGCCAGACGCGAATACAACTTCACCTGCCTAATCTCGCCCCCCACCCACCCCCCATACAATGTTGAAAACTACTAGCTGCAATTTCTTCTGATTTTCAACATTGTATTGGCTGGGGAGGGGCAACAGTAACGCGTTTTTAAAAGGAAAGTAGCGCTTTTTTCAAACTTCAGCAGTAAAACACAGATAATTCGTTAAATTACAAAAGTGTCCCAAGGACTTTTGTCCACGATTGTAGCTTCTCATTTAGCTGAATGCATCCCGTCGATAATTTAACGGTTATTTAATTCTTTTGCTGTGAAAAACTGATTAACCTAATCCGAAGCAGGTTGTTGACGGTTTTCAAAAAAGCAGTGAAAAATAAGCGAAGTTCCCTCTCAATTAACATCTCATACTCACAGAAGTTTAGATCATAGAGACGAAGCACTGGTCAGGCAGGATCTCTGACTTGCTTCACTTTCAAAATATCGTCTGTATAGCAGTGCAACATTCACCTCCCTAGACAGTGTTGACAAAATTAAGTTGAGGATCCACCCTCTGTGCGGCTTTGGTTGGCATACGTATACACGTGACCAGCCGCAACCAGGGTACTTTCTCGAGGGAGGAAGAGAGAGGAACCTGGGAACGAGGTTGCATAAGGCTTCGCGTATAAACCAGACTTCAGCTAATTGATGCGAGTCCTCAAGTTTTCTTTACGTTTTTACACAGCTGCCGTTAAAACTTCAATCCTTCTAATGATAACACGCAATCTGTGTTGTATTCACCTCATGAGCTGCTTGCCGAGCCTTGAAGAGATTTTCCACAAAAGCATCTTTGTCTGGCACCATGCGTTGAAGTCGTCCACTTGTTTCAACCAACTTCTTATGCTCAGTCACAGCTTTGCTGATCTGACAAGTCAACAGAAT